CCAGAAAACCGGGTCCTAAAGGGCCCTCCGCCCAAATCCTTTTAGCCTTTTTGCCTACTCGAGGTCCTCTATCGAATGATGTATGAACGAACGAAATCGGAGCCGGATACCTGGGGCGGTTCCCTCGTTAGTACACGAAAAAAACTTAAAAATTACAAAAGCCAATTTTCCAAAAATTGGGTAAGTCTGTCGCTCTTCTTTTTGTGTTTTGTCGGCTTTATTTTCTCCTCCTTCGATTTATCATCATTTGTCAATCACCCTCTGTGAAGGGACTAGGATTGGAACCCAGTACCTTGGCATTCCGTGTCTATGCTCTAACCACTGAGCTACTTGGTCGACATCTCTATCCATCACATCACTCCCCCACCCAGATGCCAGCACGTCCTCGTGCTGCTCTGTTTTAACATAGGTTCGCTGGCTACTGGAGATGTTATACACAGCGCTACCCGCGAGATCGCCATATGTGAAGGAATAATGTGTGACTAGACTAGGATTCGAACCCAGGACCTTGACATTCCGTATCTATGCTCTAACCACTGGGCCACCTGGTCGACACCTCTATCCGTCGCACCCTCACCCTCATAGAGTAGGGCATTACTGTCTATGAATAAACAGTAGGATGTGTATCTTAAGAATTTAGGGTGAGCTAGAAAGTGGAAATAATTGTCTTAAATGATGACAGAGATGAACAACTCTTCAATTTTTTTTCTTTCGATGACCTATGCAAAGGAGAAAAGAAAAAACTTCACCCTTATTTTACGAAAGAAGCCACCTAGTAACAATGCACTTTGTAATTGTGTATCAATGCAGAGATGTAACGACATATAATTGCGCCTTAGAATTTTCTATACAGTTTTCTATGATAGAATAATTTGATCTGAACTGTGCAGTAGAGATTCTTTCATATGGGATCTTATCCAAGTGACTCAACATTTTTTAAAGTATCTATTCGTTACGGTATCTACGTTTTTTAAAAGTTTTTAGCAATCACAACAATTCATGGCTTAATCAATTTGGCTACTTAACCTGATAGATTCATTGTGTAGTCTATTGGCTTAGTTTGCTGTGCGCCTGAGTTTGTCTTAAAAGGGTAGCCTTTCCTTTCCTACTTCATTTTGACCGAATTAGTGAAGAAGAGTATCAACCAACATATGCCAATGTCTTTCCTCTACCTGCTTGAATGCTGATTTGATCAGTTAAAAATAGACCAAAAGAATCCCAATCGAGAAAGCTTATATCAGCTTATGGATTTGGCTAAAATCAGTATTTTCAAGTAGAAAGGCTAATACTATAGTCCATATTAACTTGATTCGGACTTTTTCTTGACATGCATATTTAGGATTCATGTGTAGTCGAATGTCGGCGGTCTCGAACAGTTAAATTGTTCGGAGTTAATACCCTCGTTGAATACGCTCGTTGTTAAGTCCGACTGCAGTTTTAGTGGGGAACGCTAAATGGTCGAAATCTAAGATTAGAGTGTATTTCGCGAAACGTTTAGTATGAGATGTGTGTCTACCAAAAATCATTATTTTTCTCCGCTGACGTACTTTGGTAAAGGACGATGAAAATAGATGAAAAATGTTTAACCATTGAGAACAAAAATGATACACTGAGTTATTTTATATTCATTTTCGTTATTCGATTAGATTTGTACAAGTGTACAGATATACACACAAAATTATTCTTTTCGTTCTCTCAATCATATCACATAGATAAAACAATAGAACATACATATCACTCAATTCAGCTGTACCTCCAATATCCTTTTTCGTTCTCTTTCTCACATAGTTTAAATAACATAATGTATGCAAAACGATTCAGTTATGTATAAGAACAAATAGAGTGATACTGAACAAAAAAAAATAACGCTCATCGAGGGCGACTTGCTTGACCCTCGACTGAATTATTGAGTTTTCTTAGCTGCAAATCAGTATCCCAACCAACAGTGGCGACAAAAAGCGGTTGTCGTCACCGTTCCACTTTAAAACATATCTGTCTATTGTCAATACGAAGATCAACGCTGTGGAGCAATATAAGACACTTCATAGTGTTAAATCTAAATCCGCTTGATCTTTTTCATTGGCACGACAAAAAACGCAACCGGGAGTAGCTAGTAGTTCGTCGGCGCGCCTGCGGGGCGCCACTCACTACTAGCCGCTTCGAAGCCTCCCCATCATCCAGCTTACTCACCAGCTCGATCAGCCTCAGGACTTGAAGACCCAAGGGTACCCCCCTCCCCCCCTGGTACAGGATTTGTAGATCCGTATATGTTAATACTATGACCTTTGACCGGTGACAAACATACAAACTATTTTTTTTTCATATGACCCTGCTTTCAGTCGAGGGAATGAAAATATAATTCTTGATTATAAACGATATAATAATCAAATTATTTAGTATTTTCTCGTTTAAGTGAAACAATCTCAATAAAAAAACTTTGTCTTTAGAAGTTAAAAAATCAACGTTTTATGGGTTATGTTGGCATATATGTATTAGCATTGGTATCTTCTTCTGCATTTGTGAATATTTCGTTACAAATAATGCATTTAGGATTATGAGTAGCTTGTTGAGCTTGAAGAAGACATTTTCTACACATTGTCTTATGACGACATGGTAAACATCGAGCAAATCGAAGTTCATCAAGACAGATAAGACATGGTTTAGAATTAGCTACTTGCTCAGTGATCAACTCAAGTTGTGCAACAACTTCTTTGGCTGTAGGTCGATCTTTTGGATTGACATTGAGACATCTGGAAATCAGCTGACGATAAGTCTCTGGAATTTGATCAAGAGCATTGATATGAGCTTGAGAAATTGGATTCGGTCGATCATAGATTGGTTTGGGAGATACCATGTACATCAGTACACCAAGTGAATATACATCAAAAGCTGAACCCTCATAAGAACATTGATGATCGATAGAAAAAGAAGAAGAAGAAGAAGAATTTGTTGTCAGTTCAGGTGGAAATGGTGGTGTACCAATAAAAGTAGAATTTTCAACTCCATGTTTACAAGTACCAAAATCAGCAAGAAGTACCTGTTGATTGGTATCGAGGAGGATGTTCGAAACTTTAATATCTCGATGAACTAATCCTTGAGAATGCATTTGTGTTATAATACGAGCAATGTCGAGCGAAATCTGAATCGCTTTATCCAGAGATACTTCATGGATATGGTCGAGAAGATAACGATGTAAATCTGTTTCATAATGAGGTAATAAAATAAAAAGTTTATTGGGTTCATCTGGTTTTTCGTAAAGATATCGTAATGGAGCAATATGATTAATGTTCAAACGAGTGACAGTTCGATGAAAATGAGCTTCCATATAGTCAATATTTCGATGGACAATGGAATCACGTAACTCTTTGGCAACAAGACGTTCGTTAGATCCCCAAGAACACGGATGAACTAGGAAAAGTCCGCCTTCACCTATAACTTCTTGTTTAATATCTGGCGAATCACCATTATGTTCGGATAAATCAAGATTGGCTACTAACTGACATTCTATACGTGCGAATTGTGGAGCCAAAGTACATGCTAGTTCATAAGCTTTCTGTCGATGTGCAATTGTCTTAAGTACGAGTTTATGATAACAATTAATTTTATCTACGAATTCATTTTCACCTTTATTAATGCATTCACCTATACTATTTCGAATTTCTTCACTCCTTGTTGATAATTTGTTTTCAAAATCTTGAAGAAACTCTCGAATATATTCTTTTTCATTCTCAATCTCGCCCCGTCTCCAAGTTTCTCCCGGATTTCTGCCCTTAATTTTATCATACAAATACATAGAAGCATGTAGAGGGATGCTTATAACAGTGTAGAAAGGTAGGAATACGAACGAGCTTACAAATTTGTCGACTACGTTCATCACATTACGATGACGAAGAAAAACACCCATATCGTTAGTATACTTTAATATTTCTCGATATGCTGCGTTCAATAATTCGTTCTTGGTACTACAAACTGATAATAACTGTTGATTGATGACGAGACTTGTATCATTGTTAGTTGAGCACAAAACTTCTGTGAACACTGGTTTGAATATTTCGTTTTCGACAATCAGTTCGAGAAATTTCTTGTGACAATAATTTGGGTCCCATGAACTAATAGGTGTGTTCCGGTCACCTGGTGGTTTAAAGTCAAGAACATCGTCATTCGCGCATATATCGGCCACTATAAATGGTTCCACTGCAAGTCTCACAGCTGCATTGCGTTGCCACCATCTTCCTCGTTCACAATTGATCACAGCACGTTTTTCAATATTATCACGTCGTTCTCGAAATCGTTGAGGAAGACGTCGATTGATCTCATTTACAATGTAATCAATTTTCAAACGGTATTCCTGAAAGAAGCTTTTACCCCATTGAAAAGCTTCATCTCGCAATTTATCCCATTCGTTTTGAGATCGTCGATTAGTAATAAGAACAAAATCAAAAAAAGCATCAATAACAGTAAGAATAATTTCACTCACTTGTTTGATACTTTTCAAATCATGTTTAGCAGCAAAAGAAATAATACGATTGATTGTATTGTTCTTCATGATTATTTCCATGGGATCTGTTGGTTGCTGAACACTAAAGATATCGAAACAATCACAGTTTTCCAGAGAAGTACGCATTTCATTCGATAGATCGCTGCTCATTTCATTAACTTTGAGTAATAAGTTGAATCGTTTTAATCGTTCTTTTTCAAGCAGTGTTGTCTCATCCTCATCATCTTCTTCATGATCATTGCGTATGGTTGTGACATCAGCTTTTGTATTGAGAAAAAAAATTCCAGTCCCACGAAAATGATGACTAAGGGTAAGTTTAAATTGCTCAAAACATTTTCGTGTATCATCAGATACAGTCGGATTATCGTAGAGAAATAAAAGAGAAGGGCGCATAGCTTTAATCAAAGCCAATAGATTGTTTCGTAGAACAGGAGCATCAGAAGCTAAAAATCCTGGTGTATCATACAATTCTAAACCAAGTTCAAGAATCGGTGATGGAAGACGAATTTCAACGAAAAAAGCAGCCCATTTCTCAAATTCATCTGAATGTTCATCACAATCAATTGGTCTTAATAAATGTTCTTTCACTTTTTCTTTTAATGCTTTTACATTAGCTTTTTTTGTCGATGAATACTCAATAAAACAGGATGATAGATCTATTTTGCTTCTTTTTATTTCAACACCATCAATAATTGAACGATATAAAACTATACAGGCTTGATCGTTAGATGCATAAGTAAATTTAACAATACGTGCTGATATTGCTCCAGTACCAGTTGGTAAAAATTTTCCACATTCGAGTAATTCATGAACAAAAGATGTTTTTCCTGATGAATTATATCCACAAACTGCTAATTGTACTTTATCATATGGTTTGCATTCTTCAATAATCTTTTGTTTTCCATCATCGAGAAAAATATGAGCTGTATTTTTTATTGTTGTCAGATTTTCATAAATATTTGTAAGTTTTTCTAAAATATTTTGTTGAAGTTGAAGAAATTTACGTGTCGTTCTTAATGTCGAGTTTTTAATTGAATTGTTTGTTCTGATTAATTTTTTGATGAATTCAGAATTTCTTTCTACTGTATTCGCCATTTTATCTTTAATATAAAATGAATAAATATTTGTCGCAATATGTCTTATCTATCTTTCTTTCTTTCGTCACTTACAGCCTGTCAAAAAAGTATTGGGACAGCTGTTTATTTTTTCCTATTTTTCGATTTTTACAGCAGAAACAAAATATAAAATTTTAGGTGTTAGGATTATTTTGAAACAGCGTTCTACCCATCTTGTGGAGAATTTAATTCTCTACAAACCTACATGATCGAAAGATAATTAAAGTTCAAATATAAATACTTATGAGTCCGACAAGGAACATAAACTACGGATGTACACGCCAGATTCATGAAAAACATACATGATTGTTTTCAGGACGCTTTTCAAAAAATTTCTCAATTAGCCTATATGATGCAGTTTTCGATGCTCTTTCTAATGGTGTACCTGGAAGTTAAATTTGATCCTGCTGCGGTGGAGGAAAACTACATTTACTGAATACATGCAGCGAAAATGAGTGACTTGTAGAAAGATTTGTGTCGCAAGATATTACTAAGGTCTGTTTCGAATAAAAGTAGTGCATTTTGTAGCGCATTCTGCGTTCTACCAAATGGTGTGTGTCTAAAAAAATTTATACAAGAACAGAAGAGTGGGAAATAAGGACGGAAAAGTGAAAGTTTTACGAACGCTTCAGAACAAAAAAAGGCGAGTTATTTCACGAAAAAAATTGCCAAAATTCGAATTGATTGTAGAAATTGATGATTTTTACAGAGAACACAGTCTGAAGTGAGGGCTATCCAACGGTGAAAAGAGAAAAATTTTATATTTTGTTCTGCTGTAAAAATCGAAAAATAGGAAAAAACAAACAGCTGTCCCAATACTTTTTTGACTGGTTGTAGTTAAAGAAAAAGAAAAAGAAATATTAGAAAGAGTAAAGTCGCATTTAAATATAATAAAAAAAGAGTGCATGATCAGATATAGGGGCGTTTATTTGAATATGATTGGAAAAAACTTGCTAGATAAGAAATTCTTTCTTTTATATAAGTACTGACTATTAGTTTTATGACGTCATTTTCTCATTCTTTTTCTTTTTGACTCGATTTAAAAAAGAACGCTTTGGTTTTTTCCAACTTTCGAATGACTCATTAAGTATAAAGTTTAAAAATAAAAATCTCTTTATTTATAGAATTATTTGCAAACACAAAAGACATAACAGAGATTAGACTTGTATCTGTTTGTTAATGAATATTTCGAAGAAGTTTCATCTATTTATTTATTTTTTCTTTCATTTTATTGTATCCTTATTTGTGTTTTTGCGTTTTGATTATCCTATGTTATTCTTTACATTTACATATCAGTCAGTATAAACGGAAGAATGAATTCATATTTCAAATATTTATTTATATTATTTATTTAAAACAATAATAATATTATTGAGATATGCGTATACCACATGTTGGTCTTGCTATTCCTTCGTTTAGTACATAGTTGTACTATTAAAAACAATTCAAATAGTCCTACTCGGATGCAAATTTTATATAAAGGACCAGTTCGTCAAGGAAGAGGTGATCAACATAAAATATAAAATGCTGACATTCCTGTTGGTGAAAGTTTTCGAGCCGAAGAACATGTAACAAATCATGGATCATATCAAACACGTAAAGAAATAGAGGGGATCAAAGTAATTCAAGGCAATGGTCAAAAATAGGGGTGTGACAGTTCAAGCTCGTGAACTGTGAGTAAATGTAGTAAAGAGCTGGTGACCATCTCCAGTTCGTACTCATGTGAACTGTTAACCAGCTCCAGCTCCTACTCATGTGAGCTGTTAACCAGCTCCAGCTCCTACTCATGTGAGCTGTTAACCAGCTCCAGCTCCTACTCATGTGAGCTGTTGATCAGCTCCAACAGTTTTATACTCAAAAGAGCTGCTAAACAAC